CTCTTATGTACTCCATTATGACTTTAAGGTAGAATTCGATATTCCTCTTATCGGTCATGTAATGGATGTAGCTGGAGAGCACGCCATTGATCCCTTTTATATTTGTCAGTTTGGCTGCATCTCTTTCAGCTATTCTCATAGCTAAAGCAGGGGTACAGGGTTGATCCACCTCTTCTCCTTCCTCAACTTCGATTTCATTGGGAAGATCTAGTGAATCATTAAAGACCAAATGAGGTTCGGTATGGAGGGGTTCAGTGGGGAATAAAGATTCCGACTCAAGTCCAGAATCCATTAACTCCTCCGGGCCTTCTTAAGGAACCTCTTCAGGGTCCTCTTCAGGATTCTCATCCTCTGGTTCATATTCTGGAACTGCATTATCCACGTATGAGTATTCCAATGAACCATCTTTGATATTTTCAGTGCTACTAGAAGCCTCTTGCTTCATTTTCACCTAGAACAAAATCATTTCAATTATTTAGAATATTTTGTAATTTATTTCCGCATGAAAATACCAGAAAATACATTGAAAATACTCACCAGCGGATCCTTAATTGTCTCAAAAATTATCAAATTATATATCAATATGAAGATCTTGATTTTAGGGATTTTTAGAGACAAACCGCACCTCAAACAGACCATCCACGGGCCTACATGCGCCCCCTAGAAGGAAGAATTAGCGAAAAATTGGGGGGGGGGAACTTCGCCCACTCTCGTTGTCGGCGCGTGTACGTCACATGCCGCCACGCAGCCGACCGCCGGCGACACACGCTGTGCTGGCAGCCTCCACGCGCCACCACCTGTCAGGTGGTGGGCCTACGTGTCCAGATGGCATGCCACGTGGCGGCACGCGCCATATGGCAGTTCTGTACACCAAAATTTTTTTTAAAATTCGTTTTTTAGCACTAAAATGTTTTTTTTTGTTTTTTGCTGTTTGGGCTCAACCTATATTTGCCCAACCAAAAACCCTTTTTTTTTATTGAAATTTCTATGCCTCATTTTTTCAGAAGGGTCGAAACGTTTTTTTTTTAAAGGAGGGCCAAAACGACGCCGTTTTGGCCCTGGAGGTTATCTTCAACCTCCAACCGGGTCATCTTGACCCGGTTTCTGCACACGGGTCGGGTCCGACGGACCTGTCAGACCCGAAACCTTCTTTCCGTCATATCTCCTCCGTCCGACGCCCAAATTTCGCATACTTTATATCATTTTCTTCATTTTTTCGTCCTCTACACAATGGGATAGTTTTTGTATGCTAAAAACCTGATTTTGAGCAAACCCAAAAATGAACATCGTATGGCCAAAAAACAATCCAAGAAAAAGAATGCGTTCATGGAGGCGGAGAAGAATCTAGTATCTCTAATCACAAACATAAGATACAAAACAATGATATTGGAAATAAAATGAAGGATTTGCATAATAATTTGAAGCAAATCACAAGTTACTCAGACCGAACAATCAGGAAAAAAAATACTAATATGAAAACGCAGGCCATATAATCAACAGGAAAAATTACAGCTCTAATACCAATGAAGGATTTCGGGCGTACCTGAAGTGTTCGAAATCTTCAGATAGCCACATGGAGGTCCGGTTACAGTGTTAAACTCAGATCTTGGAGACACAGAAAATGTACGGGGGAAAGATGAAGAAGAGAGAACTGATGGAGGAGGAGTCTGGAGAAGGAAAAAAACGTTGTCCACTCTGATGCTACGGTTACGAGTTTAACTTTATGTTTTTCAAAAAAGAAAAACTGCCTCCTCCGTAGCTGTTCCCTCCTTTTTGCATATCAAATAAAAAGGCTAAAATTGCAATTAAGGACCCATATGTTTTGTAATTTACATCAGAACTCCAAAGTTTAATGAATTTGGGTCCAATCCACTAAGGTGGACTGGCCCATTTTCTTACACTGTTAGACTGAAGAGCTTTTAGCTGTTGGAAGATCAGTTGCATGTGTTCAGCAGTTACAACGGTAGTTCACCATTAGTACTTCTGACATAGTAGATTAAAGGCTACTAAATAACCGTTGAGCGTCATAATCTGTAACAGCCTTTGAAACAAGTAAGTCCTCTTTTTGAAGAAAAATTTGTGAAGAAAACAGAACAAGTTATGATCATTTATAGTTATATAACAGTTAGGAAAGTACAGAATCAATCATCAGGTACTTCAAATATAATCTGAACTTACTTGATCGATGTCTTGATTGATAAATGGTTGATCGATCAAGTTATCGATTAAATATAAGGAAAAAGCTTAAGTCAAACATGTATATTTATCGATTAGATTATGAATCAACAGATGATCGAACAAGTGATCAATAAAAAGTGAGAAATGAAATCAGTGACCTCTAAAAGGATTATGCAAGAATAAACTTTAAAGTTAACTTTGCCTTCGACTGTTTTCAATAGAGAGTTAAATCTAACAGGAAGGTTGAGAAAAATTTGAAGATAAAGAGAAAGAAGATTTTGAAAAAAAATCGTGTATAGCTGTTATGAAATAAAGTGGTTCAATAATCAAACAAATGATGAAAAAAAGTTTGATCAATCACATTATTGATAAAACTAAGTATAAGATAAATATATTTTCAAAGGGTGTTGATCGAATACTTTATTGATAAACAGTTGATCAGTGAAATGTTCGATAAAAAGTTTTAAAGAGATTTTCACAGTGAAATTGCTGAATATAAGATGATCGAGTAAATGATCGATGTATAATTAATTGATTAAGTGATTGATAAATGATTGTTGAAATTTTATTTCAGAAAAGACCAGGAAAAACTTTGATCGATTACATTATGTGAAAACAAAAGTTGTAGATGTTTGGATAATCGATCATTTTATGGATAAATCAATGATTGATCAGATGATAAAAAAATTTAAAATAAAGAAATACAATGAAGGTGATGATGATCGTTTATTTGATCAATAAAAGAGTGATCGATCAATTGATGGATTAAAAATCTTGCCAAACTACTTAAACAGAGCACATTATCGATAAACCAGTAAGTTATCATGCAGTGTTAGAACATGTTATCGATTAATGTCTGATCAATAAAGTGATCGATAAATAGTGAATTAATCAGGACAAAAAGTAAGTACAAAAGCTTTACTATTTATCTTTCTTCTCATCGATAACTCGTTAATCGATCAAGTGATCGATAAATACTTACTAGAATTGTATGCCTTTTTCTGACAGTTGATCGGACATTAAATTATCAATTAATTGATCGATAATTTTTTACGACCTTGTACATTAAACGATTGTTAATGATGATCAATCAATTAATCAATCAACTCATAAATATTGAATTATTTATCATGTTATTGATCAACCATAGTGTTAAGTTACAGAGACGTTTTATCTTATACATGATTGATTAACCTTTTATCAATGAGGTGATCGATCAACTTACTAAACTAGAAATAACTTAAATTGTTATCATCAACACCTTAAATCTAACATTACTTATGTCTGTTTTGATATAAAACTGAAGTAAAAAAAAAAAGATTTTTTAAAACAGAAGTAAATAGTGGTGACTTTTTGTTTCTGTTTTATCATAACAGAAGTAAAAAGTTTTCCTATTTATTACTGTTTTCTTGAAACAGACGTGAATGTGCTCTTTTTTTTTTTTAAAAAAAAAATGACTTCTTGAATGCCACTTGCCATACTACTAACTGTTAAAAGAACAACAACAATAGTCACAACAGCCACTTTCTAATAAGTTGAAATAGTCTAACATTTAAACCAGTCAATATTTTCAGCCAACATATATCAAAATCATGATTCCATCAATACATTAACACATCAACTAACTAGATAAAAGAACAAATTACAAAAATCAAAATTGATAACCTATTATCTCTAAACATAAACTTTATAAATTTCTAGACCACCATTCTTGAAACAGTTGTTGTGCCAAAAAGTCTCAAATAAAATCAATATCATCAACGGTGTATGATCAGTCATTATAAAAAATCTGTAAATTGACAAATGAACAAATTTAAACATATGAAAAAAATAAAATAAGTAACAATTCAATTTAAAAATTCAACAACTATTACAAAACTAAAATTATATTTACTTACCTCTTCAAAAATGGAGAAATACATACAGAAACCAATACCTTCAACTAAAGACGAACCCAATACCTTCACTATGCTCTTTCTTTGACATAACCATGTCAAGTTCTGTAACTTGATAATCACACATTAATCCTCAATTACCTTCTTGCATTACATCAGAATGGTTCAAATGAATTAATAATGAAATGAACAAAACACACTTCAAAATTGTTGCTCCTTGTTACTCGTGCGTGCTTTGCAAGTATCAAGCCTTGTTCAACAAATTCCAGTCAATGTCCAAGTAGCACTTACTTCAGCAGCAAATCAAATGCTTTTGCTAAAAAAAAAAAAAAGAAATATTTGAAGAAAAAGGGTTTGGATTCAAATATGAAAAGTTACAAACAAATTCCAGCAAGTTATACTTTGCTTAAGCAATGCCAATTTCACCAAATTCAAGCAAGGAACACTTGAAAACAAGTCTGCATAGATTTAAAATGACACTCAATCAACTAGAAAAGAATGAAGAAATATTTATTTTGTCCCCCCCCTAAAGGTGGTGCTCTTATGTGATCTAACAAAACAAGCTGACAAGTGATGATTCAAGGTGTTCTAACTCTTCAAGGAACAATTAGTCAAGCAGTTTTATGGTAAGAAAATAAGCAACAACAGCACAATTAGATTCGGATGATTAGTTAACTCAAATCTCAACAATTTCACACTTGTGACAGCAAACAAGTAGCTCAAAATCAGTAATTTGACAATAGAGTTAGCGTCTACAGCAACTCAAAAATTTTCAGCAAGATCAAGGCACAAGAGTTTAATAACACCAATGACCAATTTCAGTTCAAATCTGGAGATTTCACCAGACAGCATAAGAGCACGAGCATTATCTAAGGAATAAGCTTACAAGTTATTGAAGCTATCTGCAGAACAGGAAATAACCAAGTCTTGTGACAAGTGAACTCAATCAAAGTTGGCAAACTGAAGAGCTACAGAATTTGAAAACTACATATGAAGCAGAGTACCTTAAAAGAAAGTTGATGACAATACAAATCAATATTGCTAAAAGAACACCGTGAACAGATGTTAACGTCTTCTAGGATATTAATATAGTAACAGGCTTGATTGATATGAATAACAAGCTTCTACTCTCAAGAATCACCGCCAATAATAAGATTGAATCTGTTTGGTGAATGTTAAGCCAAAAAATATAATTTCTTTGTATTGATCTGATTTAACTAGTTAACAAAATAACTCTTCAAAAACTAAGTTCTCATGCAACCGTGGGTAGATTCATATGGTCTTGACATTGATCTGCTATCTGATGATCCCTTCAACTTCCTTAAACATTTTATCACGACCCTCCCAATAGCAGACACTACAATTGACACAAGATTACCTCATTAGGTCCCAAACAACTTATGAAATGCAACTTTACAATAATGGATTGGCTTAGAAATTAACCAAAGTGAAGTTGCCACAAAGACAGCTAGAAAGGACCAAGCATTACAGTATATATATGTGCTCAAGTAAAGAGAATCAAGACAGAATAAGTTTAATCCTAATACTCCACAACAAGTTTATAGATTGCAGTTAAATGTTCCCTTCATAAAAGGAAGTCATCAAAAAAACATACTGAAGGGGGAAATACATTTTTTTTCCGATACCTGAAGTGTGTGCAGAAGAGTGCAAGTAGCTTCGAGAAAGTCTGGACGAAGTATCAATGCTAGTCTATAGCTCTTTATCGCAGCCTCTACATGTCCACTGTACAACAAGTAAAACACAGGTGCTAAGAGATCAATTGGGAAGTAAAATCCACATAGCACAAAGATCCAATCCTCTTGCTGCACAAACGTATTATTAATATAAGGAAATGATTTAAAATAGATATCATATAATAGAGGAAGTTCAGATATATACTAACTCTGATAAAGCATCGATACTTTCATGCTTCTAACAATCCATCTGGTGTCTTTAATTTAACCCTTCTCTCAGATTCAACAATCATGCTGCTAATATCGTGCTAGATAACTTGCCTTCTACTTTTTCCTTTTCCACCTTAGGCAAGAAGCATTAGGGCATGATTCTAAAAGTTTCTTTGTTCTTCTTCGATCAACCATTTGACCAAAATAGAGAAGAGAGTCTGCGATTTCACTCCCTCCTCTATCAATCCACAATCGCGACTCCATCTTCCAAAATCATCATCTTCCTCTGACCATCGGCCAAAGAATGAAGGAGCAGACCTCGCAGAACCAGTCGGCAACAATGAACTAAAACCTTCGACTTCATCTCCCATCAACCTCACAAACCCATTCAGCCAAACCAGAACCACCAACACCTTGATCTCTTTAATCTTCATCACCGAGGTGTGTGCGCACATCGACAAATAGGGGTCACTGAGTGTGCGCGTGCTCAGGGAAAGAGGTTGGGCGGAGTGCGCATACGCAGAGGGGCGAGTGGAGATGTTACGGTATTTAGGGTACAAATACCGCTGAAGAAGATGAAAGAGAGAACAAGTTATAAAAACTCCAGAGTATATTCTCGTCTCTTTATAAAAGCAGAAGAGAATACTCTGAATTCTTGTCTGGCTTTAAAAAAACAGACGAGAATGCCTTCCTTTTCCTCGTCTATTCTAAGAAGTGGACAGAAAAAGTGACTTTTATCCTCTATTTTTCAAAACAGGCATGAGTAGGGGAAGAAAAAATATGTATTTTGTTGTAGCGTTACTAGCAGAGAAGATTGGGACTATGCATTCTAGGTGGGACCTTGGATGATTGACAATCACTGCCATCTAGTGAAACATTGGAGACCCAACTTCAATTTATGGAAGGCTGATAATCAACATCTATACCAGACCTCTCGATGGAATTCTATAATGTCGAGTCATTAGGAATAATAAGACATATGGTGGGTTGAACCATCAAAATAGAAAGGTCCATATCTATATATGCTTAGGGAGGCTTTGCTAAGATTTGTGTGGAAATTGATCTCTAACAGCTTCTGCTACCTTCATTCACAACTTGGAGTGAAGATCGTTAAATAATCTGTAAAGGGCTCCATCAAGTGTGTTTCCATTACGAGAAATATAGGCACATAAAGTAGAATTGTGCCGAACTCAATATTGCACTAGTAAGAAATAAGGGAACAGTGGATTCTATTGAGAAGAATGTTGCCGACAGCCTAAAGAAGGCTAGGGACCCACTCATCCAACAGGAAGGGATATCCAGTTGTGCTCAAACACTGTCGAATAGAAACACACCAGAAACAATTGACAGCCACCTAGGGCCGCAGATGCTGGTGAAATGAGATTCTTGGAGGTGAGGGAATGGGGCAAATAAAAATGGATCTGGTGAAGGAAATCTAGCAACAAATCAGTCTAGGATCAAGCAGAGAGGTGAGTCAAAGATCCGATTATGACCGAGAAATCAACTAATATGGAATCAATCAGAAGAAGAAACTTTGGAAAGGATGTGATAAATTCTGGCACTTGGGTCAAGGTGGGTTCAAAAAGGAAAACTAATGATAAGCCCAAAGCACGTGGGAAAGAGAATAAGCACAATCCAAAACTAAAAAATGGCCAGGCTCCAAAGGACATGCTCGTTAACTCGATCAATCTGTTTACTGCACTTCAGAAAAGAAGCCCCTAACCAGTCCCAGGTCCCAAACACCATAGAAGGAATAACTACTATGATAGAATATGATTGTATGGATACCTCATTGCCCCCAAACCAAACCATCTTAGCGCGACAAACTTTACACCTTTAAGGGTTATTGCAGGAGTCTCAGACCGTCCCCCTAATGAGTTGACAACCAATGTTAATAATTTGTTGGCTATAGCGGATAATGTCCAGGTGTAGGACAATAAAACAATATCAAATAATCTCATTATTTCTCTATGAATTTCATGATACGGAGCTCAAGAAGCACAGGCGCAAAGACATTTCCTGGCCTAGTGCATGAAACAATGAAACACTATCAACTTGACTTCCTTGCACTAGTGGAAACTCATTCAAACAAAAAAAAACAGAAAAGTGTATAGGACACTTGGGATTTCAAGACTTCACTTTTATTGAGTTAGATAAGTATAGCAGAGGGATTTGGTGTTTATAGAAATCTGGGGTCAATAAGGTAGAGGTCCTTAAAAAGCACAGGCAATTTATCTACTCAAAGATTAAGAATAGTTGACATGGTATCTTTGTTGTTGCCATAATTAATGCTAGTCCAAATATTGTGGCTAGGCGAGCTCTTTGGTATGAACTTCAGCACATTGACAACATCATGCAGGAACCTTAGATCCTTGGTGGTGACTTCAACGCAAGCTTATTTGAAACTGAGAGAAAATCTTCTGCCTCATATAGGGTCTCGGTTGATAGGGACTTTTATAAATGGTATGAAGGGAGTAATGTGCAAGACTTGGGCTTTGGTGGGCCACTATTCACCTAGAAATGGGGCACGACGGAAGCTCAGTTACACCGTTATCTGGCTAATAAAGCAAGGTATCAACTCTTTCCTTATGCTAAGGTAACGCATCTTTCACATTATAAATCTAACCATTGCCCCATTCTTCTTCATCTTGACCTGTGCAGAGAACAGTCACATCATCCTTTTCGTTTTATTAAGTCATGGGTCCTTCATGAAAACTTTAATGAATTTTTTAAAGACCAATGGAATAATGATATGGACTAGAACCCCAACCTCACGCAATTTACTGATGCATGTTGTGTGTGGAATGAAAACGTATTTGATCATATCCAGGGACAAAAGAACAAGCTCTTGCAACAGCTTGAAGGGGTAACAAGGGCTCTGGCTCATGGGAATAACAATAATTATTATGAAGAACTCCAAGTTGAAATCTGCAAGGAGCTTGAAGGAGTTATTGCACAAGAATCCTTGCTCTATGCTCAAAAAGCATGATTAAATTGGAATGTACACAAAGACAAGAACACCAAGTTCTTCCATTCCTTTGCAAATAGACACAGGAAAACTAACCAAGTAGATGCAATTTTCCTTGATGATGGTAGTTGGTGCTATAACAAAAGGGAAATAAAGCATAAAGCCACGTTATTCTTCTCTTCTCTTTTCCAAGAAGACACATCGATTTGAGATGCTTTATCTTGTGGACTTTTATATCTGGCCATTGATGATATTCAGTTGAGGTGCTGTGCCGGTGACGTTGATGAACTTGAAATTAAAAGTGCTCTCTTTAGTATGGACCCCTTAAAATCACCAGGGTCAGACGGCTTCAATGCTTTATTCTTCTAGCATCAATGGGATATTGTTAGTTTGTGAGATTTGTGAAGTTTTTATTTGCCAATCCCCAATCTATTTGTGAGATCAATGGGACCTTGATTGTTCTTATTCCCAAAAAAGACCCTCCAGAAAATTTCAAAGATTTATGCCCTATAGGTCTTTGTAATGTGGTCTATAAGATAGTGACAAAAATTTTGGCAAACAGGATGAAGAAATTTATGTCCCAAATTATATCTCCTAATCAATGTGGCTTTTTTTTGGGGACGTCATAGTTTTGATAATATTATCATTACCTAGGAAGTCATGCACGGAAGGGAAGAGGGGTTATTTAGCTATCAAGAATGATCTTGAAAAAGCTTACAATCGGGTTAACTAGAACTTTGTTAAAAATTGTTTGAATGAGCTGAACCTCTTAGAACACTTTGTAAGGATTATTAATGTGAGTATCACCATGGCTGAACTCCAGCTTCTCTAGAATGGCAGCAAGGCAGAATCTTTTCACTCTTCTAGAGGAGTACGACAGGGAGATCCTATCTTCCCTTACCTATTTGTCATTTGCATAGAGAAATTGGCCCACTTGACTCAAGAAAAGATGGAAGGCAATGAGTGGAGACCAGTCGGACTCACTAAGAATGGCCTCCTCGCTATCTCATTTGTTTTTTGTGGATGATATCTTTTTATTTGCTGAAGCCTCCCTGCAACAAGCTGAGTTGATCAATAACTGTCTTCATTCCTTTTGTGCAAGTTCTAGGCTTAAGGTTAATGTTTCTAAAACTTGGGTTTACTTCTCCTCTAATGTGAATCATAATAGATGCTCTAAGGTTAGCAGATGTTTGGGTTTTAATCGAACAACTAATCCGGGTAAATACTTGGGCACTCCCCTACATCACAAGAGAGTTAGCATAGAGACCTTTCAGGACACTATGGATAAAGTCAAAGCAAGGCTTTCTAAGTGGAAAACTAATTCTATGTCCCTGGCAAGTGAATACACTTTGATTTCCTCTGTGACATCGACTATCCCAAATTATGTCATGCGAACGTCTCTTCCGTCTCCTACCATCTGCAAAAACTTTGATAAGCTTAACCGAGGGTTTCTTTGGGGTAGTACGGAAGAGAAAAGGAGGGTGTCTTTGGGAGCATGGGCAGTACGGAAAAGAATCTGAGCTTGATCAGCGTGACTACTTTGAAACTGCTCTTAAACTCAAGCAGAAAGCCAACCTGCTCAGCATCCGCAACCAGGCAGGTACATTCTAGTTAGAATTAACACTTGGTCATATCTTAGTTTTGTTATCATCTTTGATGATAATTAATGAGGTGAAAGATGATGAATATGGCAAAATCTGGTTGCAAGCATTGAAAGGAATTGGATTTTTTTTTTCCAGGGGTTAAAGCTGATGATGGATTGTACAGTTTAGAGAGAATTAAAGAGGCTATAAAGAAAGGCGTTGGGTTTACTCCTTGAATTGAATGCAACGTGGATTCAAGACACAACAGCCAGCTTTATCAAGTTTATCTGTCGTGGACACTTCTAGGTCAGACTTTATTGAGTGCCCTATTCTTCCTGCAAGCAGATGTAGTTCACAAGTCCAGTTTCCCAAGTTTTAAGACAATTACTAATTACAATGAAAGATAACAGATTACTACAGAATACGTTTTAATTTGTTAGCTTCCTCCATCTTTCATATTGTCTCTGGATTGTTTCATTCCCATTCTTATCATTTACTCCAATAATCTTATTGATGAGTTGTGGCTAAGCTACTCAAACACGAGCTCGTATACCAGATGCTTGTTCCTTGCGCTTGACTTATCAATCATCATTAATTCTGTCTTTCTTGTGTTGAAGTC